CTTGGAAGTAGATGAAAGTTTTTGATATTTGTTCATCCTTTCTTTCAAAAAGGAAAATTTAAACTAAAACTGAAGGAAAAAACCATACTGAAACAACTGTGGCAAAAATTTCAAAGCCAAATTACTTAGCCCTGGAATTGCTGTGACAATACCTTATGGAAATAGTTCTGCTGCTTTCAATTTTTAAAATTTTGTTTTCTTTATCCAGAACCCTTTATTTGGCTACTTCTTCAAAAATTGTTGTGGCTTTGTTAGTGAAATAGAAAAATGGTGCATCATGAGACATGTAATGTACCACAGAGGGAGGCCCATAATGAATACAGATGTAATACAAACATTTTGAGAATGACTGTAGCAACACATCCAAATAGAAACATTTTGGCCCATAGCTTTCTTAATGCACCTCAGCTCCAATAATTTCTAAGTTCCTCTTGCTGGGATAGGATACAAGTCTAAGAAAAATGCATTGATGTCTCCTTATGAACAAAGAAAGCATAGGAAGGTATATCTTATGTAGAACTACAAATCTTTCCGTCTTGCAAAACCAACATTTGACAGTACTCCATCTCGTCCCCTCTGAAGTGGGCGTGTACTGCTTGGATTAAGAGGCAAAACCACCAAAAGTTTTCTCGTGCTTACAGAAAGCACTGTATCTCCTTTGGATCATTGAAAAGATGGCAGAGCTGATGTGCTTCCAGATTCTTGGCACCATTTTGAAGGTGGAAGTGCCTTAAAGGGTTATTGTAAACAGCTTCACATAGAAGCTATATGATATGGTTCAGACAGCTTAACTCAGTCCCAGCCAAGAGACTCCTACCTTTCCACTGTATTTATATATGAATAAAGCATATAGTTCAAGCTGAATAGGCACAATGTATAAGGTATGGAAGGCAAGGAGAAAAAAAGAGGAAAATTTCTACTACCAAATTTTGCCAAGAATGAGTGAAACTTCTCTGAAATTGTTGAAAGAAAATATCTTGAGTCTCATGTGCAGGCACAGTAAGGGGACTAAGTCCCAAACTATATGTCTGAACATAATAGGCCTCCCAGGGTGCCACAGCAAATCCCACAATGAACTCAGTGTTTGGTAAATACTGAAGGGCTAGAAGATGACTCAGTCCTAGTTGGAACTTGCAGAGCCTCTTCAAACTAGCATTTCCCAGCTTTGCTCGTGTTGATGTTTTTGGGCTTATGAAGCTCCAAGTTTGAGTGTCCTACATGTCTTGCATGAAACAGTTACCCACTGTCAGCAGTATCATCTGTGATGGATACATTTCTGGTGAGAGTTTTATGTCTTTATAACAAAATTATAAAAATATAAAAAATAAAAATTTGGTACTTTACTGTTTGTGCCTTGTCCTCTGCCTCATATTCCTGTAGAAAGAGTGTAACACAATGTGCAGCAGCAATATTCAGTCCTTCATCAGAAAGCTGTGTTTAAGTTTCCTAGACCAACACCTTCTTTTCTTCCTAGACATTTTTCACCTGGGTGTTTTTTGTTTGCTTGCTGGTGTATTTTGTTTTGTTTTGTCTGTTTGGGTTTTGTTTTGTTTTGTTGTTTGGGGGTTTTTTGTTTGTTTTATTATTTTTTTTTCCTTCCCTTTTGGTTCTGGTCATGGTGGAGTATTTATATCATAAACTTGACAGAGTGGTAATATGTCTGTCTAATATCTTTATTTGTTACAGGGCTACCTCAACAGCTGAGCTTCCTCTCTCACAAAGCACCAGCCTATGCTGGTTTTGATAAGCAAAATTACCCCATGGCAAAGGGAGTAATTTCAATTATGGTGCATCCGATTTTGAATTTGGAGGGAAACTGCTGTATTTGTTTTCAAGGAGTGAATTCATAATTTCTGAATGATGTAAAATTATTTACATACAGCTCTGTATTTGGCTCTATGTGACGTGATGTTTCCAACCAGGCGGAGAAATTTCTCTCTCATATGCCAAAAAGGTTGCACAGCTTTCTAGGAGTTAGAAGTGGGATCATTGGCTTTCCTGGTCCTGTGGCTCACACTGCCAAGGGATGCAGAGCACACGGTGTGACACAAGGAGCTGAGGCTGCCTGAGGAGTGGTTTGCAGTGGGTACTCCCATGGCTGCGTTTCAGGCTGGAATTAAGCACAGCTGTGCTGCACATGGAGCAGGGACATGTGTTGTTTTTGCTGTTTTTGTTGACAGCTTTCCCACAGATGGGGACTAGCACTGCCCTGCAGCACGGGTGGGGAGGGTGGCATGGCTGGGTGTGAGGGTTTGAGTTACAAAGGTAGGCTGTAGAAAGCTGTAGAAAACCCTATATTTTTTCATTACCATCCTACTCTGCCTAGGTGAGTTCCTAACAAGTGTTTGGGGTATGTTTTTCAAACCCACAAGCCACACAGCAGGAAAAAAAAAGTACTTGGATGTATGTGTTTGTTGGCAGCCTGTGGACTCATATGTGAGCAGATATTAACCTTGCCCCACAAGCTTTTACAGAAGGCAGATTGCTCCCCCTGTCCCTTGTCCTGTCCCTGAACAGGTAACTCTCAAAATAGAAGTAGAGGATACTAAAAGCAGACACTTGTGTCAAGGCCTGCCTGCTTTGGCACAGTACTAGGTTTGTTTCATGTTAGTGCTTAGAAATTAACCTTTGATTACAGAAATCCATATTTTTTGACTGATTCATATTTTGTTTCAAAGGACCAAGGCTGGTCACTTGATGAGTCTGACCCCAGAAGGCACTCTATTTTCTTAGGCCTTCACTGATTTTTGAGAATTGAAGGGTGTGTGTAGCATTGTATTGTAGTATCCAGTATTGAATCAGGATCAAAATGTTTTTACAAGGAGAAAGTTAATGGTGGGTATCTGATGGGATCAGGGCCTCAAAAGCATTGCCTGATTACTTGTCAGGCATCTGTGCTGCTGGCACCTTCAACTTCTGATAATTAGCCCACCTCTTAATGAAAATGCACTTAAAAAAATAATAATGCACCTATCCTTAAAACTTCAGGTTTTAGACACTTTTTCTGTAGTCCTAACAGTGTTGATACTTTTGCCTCTGCCATTTCAAATGCCATTTGTATAAGTTGACAAAGATATAATTAGCTCAGAATTATCTGTATGTGCAGTAATTGTCTTGTGGGTGTTGTGATATGTTTAGAAAGAGAGGCTTTTTCATACATAACATCATAGTATGGTGCAGGGTGAACTCATGGTTTTAATCAAATCAGAATTTTGGTTTTGTCTTTTGAACAGGGACATGTTGACCTAGCAATCAGTGAGCTCTCTGCTGGAGCCAGTATGAGCAGTACAACACATAAACACTAACCACAGATACTTCCAAAATGTTAGTAAAGAACTTTAAAACTAATCCTAAAAACTCCTAGTCTCAAACATGCATTGCTTTGGGCATGCCACTCCCCAGGCTGTGTGGGCTACAAGCTGACACTCCTCTTCTGAGAGTGTGGGTCCCTCTGTTGCCCCACCTGTCCTGCAGGTACCCAAGTACCACATTTCAGGTACAATTACGTGTACCTGTGCTGCTTGCTGTGCTAACAGACATGCCACAAGACCCCCTGCCCACCTGGGCTGGGGATCCCTGCTTGGTACACCCAACCCGCCACCAGACAGAGCCAGCACCATCAGGCCAAGGCAGAGGTGAAATACCAGCACCAAACCAGGACTGCCTGCTCTAGTCTCTCTCTCCACATATCACAAGCTTTCATCCTTCTTTCTCATTTCTTTTAAACCTGGTTATTACCCAAAAAGCCTTTGGTAACACCCGATTACCACTTAATCTGGGTAACAGTTGTGTGGAGCAAACTCAGTTGATATTCTTAGCTAGCTCTTTGGGGCAGGTACCCTCTTGGGACTGGCAATTTTTGTATTAACCTGGTCACACGCAGTATATCCTCTCTCCCATTTGACAGCATCTCTTGTTATCCAGCCCCTTTTGCCAGAGGTAGTTTGGGCTCTCATGCAGTAGTGAAATCCTTGCTTCCCAATGCTGTTGTTTGGGTGGGCTGAACTCGGGAAAGGCACCTACCCTGTTAACGACATCCACTATCCCTGAAAATCCCAGTGGTGTAAGAGTCTATCTTTTGGGATGAAAGAAGCAGAAACTGATTTCTTAAGTCAGCTGAATTAAATAGAAGCATCTCATCCCAAGAGATGAGATATATCCCTATAGCATACCCGAAGAACAAATTTGGGGGATGTTCAACAGTTCGATATTTTTTCTTCGATGCGGTGGCAAAGGCCAGCAGTGATTCCCTGGTATCTAATGACTGCGGGAATACCATTCGCAAGGAGAAAACAGCTCGAGCTCCAGAGCAGCCGGAGCGAACGAGAAGTAAGCGTTCCTGCTGCGCGGCTTCCTCCTACACACGGAGACTTTCTGTCAGCCCCCGGCTGAGTTGCACGGGGTCGGGGGTGCGGCGAAGGCGCTGATCGCAGAGACCCTGTCCTGCGCTCGGAAGGACATCGGGGCAGGGCCGCCCTGGGCGGGTCCCTGCGAGCAGCCCCCGCAGCCATCCCGCCGTGCCGGTGGACAGCGGCCAGGGGAGCGCCCGTGCCGGGCGCTGTGTCTTTAAGGGCCGGGGCCGGCTGCGGGCTCCATCCTCCCTCCATCCCCATCCCCTCCCTCCCCGGCCCGGCGGCGCTGGGCGCCGGGAGGAGGCGCCTGCCGCTAACAAAAGTCTGCGGCCGAGGCTCTCTCTGCTCCCGCCCCGGGCAACAAGTGGCTGGCGGCGGCCTCCCGGGGGAGGCGGCGGCAGCGGCAGGGCTGCGAGGAGGAGGAGGAAGGCGGAGCGGCGCTGAAGCATCGGAGGAGCCGAGCGCCAGCCGCGGGGCGGTGGAGCCAGCGCCCGGAGGCCGTCCCGCCCGTCCTGCTTGTGGATTATAACTGGAGCCGCCTTCCTGGCCCGGACACCCCGGCTGGAAACCGGGGCGGGGTGGGCGCACCGATACATCGCATTTTTGATTCTTTCTCTTTTAAAGTTTTTGTTATTCTTGCTGTTGGTTTTTTTTTTTTTTGGACGGGGTGTGGGAGGGAGGGTGTCGGCCACCCGAGAAGAAGCGGAGGAAGTTGCAAGGCTGCTTTGGACATGTCGCCGTGAGTGCTTTTGGGGGCTCTTCCCGCTGCACCCCGTCAGCCGCGGCCGCTCGGCGCCCCGCGGCAGAGATGCTGAGCGGCGGCGTGGGAAAGCGGCGACGAGCATGAAGGCGGCAGGATGGGCGCGAACAATGGCAAGCAGTACGGCAGCGAGGGTGAGCTGGGGGGGCGGCAGGAGGGGTGCTGGAGCAGCGGCGGGGGTCGTCCCGGCCATGGAGGGGTGACCGGGCGGGGGGCGCCGCGGCGGGATCCTCCTCTCCCCGGCCGGGACGGCTCCCGCCCGGATCCGCGACAGTGTCCCTCTGCGCCCCTTAAAAACACCCTTAACTTTTATTTATTTATTTATTTCACTGGGTTTAAACTAAGGAGTTTAAGTGCTGTCTCAGCTCGTGATGTCGAGGCAGCGACGCGGCTTGCTGTTCGAAGGCAGCTCGGGGGTTACGGCAGTGTTAACTTCGCTAAAAAGTTGTAGAGCTCTCTTTGTAATCCTTTTCTACTCGTCTTTATATCCCAGGATCCTTATATTATGCAGTATGCTATATGACTGCTTCCTGTCTGAACAGAAAAAAAAAAATTAACTCCGGCAAGGGTTGGGGGTAGAGTTAATGTTCTCCAGCTGTTATCCATAGATTTACTCCTGCAATTTCGCTTCAGTGAAACTTTAGTGGGCTTGGTTTTAGATATACAGGGCCTGATTCGTTCTTGTGGAAACCTATTAGTCTCGCTGGAGCTGCATCACGGATGAATTTCAGCTGCTTTGCTTCTGGTGTGAAGGACTACTGGAGCAGTCAGCTGGTGTCAGGCAAACCAATAGCGAGTACAGAAAGTTTGTCTTCCTGCCAGCTAGTTGTAAGCTTTAACTTCTAGCTGACTTCTATGTGAATTGCCCTCCAAGTATTTAGGCAATTCCGTAGGATGTATACCTTCCCCTTGGCGTATTGGGCGACCGTATAGGATCACCATCACCCCCTTTTTTTGTTGAGAGTTTGTAGGTGGAGCGAGGGAGATGATCTTGTGGTCTGCTCCATTCTTTGCGAGTTCAGACAGCAACTGCCAAAGAATACACCTCTTGCATCCAAAATATGCATGAAGATTGTGTAAAGGAAAGGGGAAAGACGCCACTTCTAGAGCAGATTCTGCAGTTCCTTTCATTTATTGCCAAATGAGCTCTGCTTTTTGAAGAGTTGATGAAGTCAGATGCTTTAAGATAAAGATATTCTTCCTGTCATGGCGTTTCAGTCAATTGATACCATCACTAGAAAAACTCCTGCATAAATGGCATGAGCCTGGAAGTTGCAATCAAAGCCTCTTTGGATTCCTTCTGAAAGGGGAAATCTTAGTTTTTCACCAGAGTTGAAAGGGTCATGGTTGATAGTTCTGGTCATGCTGCTGGGAGATGTTTACCTCAATGACCGGAAGGTGTGGATGTATGCCTGATCTGTCTTGTGAATTCAGAGGACTGATTGCTTCAATAAATGCACAATTTTTGGGGAGGGATGTGACTGACATAGAGTCTTTTGCAGCTCTCACTGAAGGGGAGATTAACTGTTCCAGAGGGACCTGATAGGCACTGTGAGGAAGAGCAGGATTGGCTGTTCCTAGTTCACCTCTCTCCTCCATTCAGAGTGGAGATTGGATCCTGGGGATGCAGACTACATGTGGCAAATTAATCTTTGCAGTGCAAACCATTATCTGTCTTGAGAATTAGGTAGAATAGTGGTTTAAAGTTAAAATTAATGTAAAAAATCCTCAAGCCCCATGACCAAAATGTCATCATCAATGTGCCTCATAGATTGTGTTTCCTGGTAACTTCTATGCATCATCAGTTACTGAGAAACTTGGAGAAGCTCTCATACTAGTTTTGTTTCCTGAGTGATACAGAGGACAAATCTAAACCTGATAAAGGGAGGCCTTTCTGCCCCCCCCCCCCCCCCCCCCCCCCCCCCATAGAATACTGGGGCTTTTGGTACCTTTGGCAAATTAACCACTTAATTGCTATAAAAGGTTGAAAAGGTTGCTTTTTAGTAGGATGTGATTATGCTCCCGGGTAGAGGGGTAACACCATTTTCTGTGCACTTTAAAAGCAACCTGAATATCCGTGTAGAAGTTGATGGAGTGGTGTCTGTGGTACACAGTTTTTAGCCTAGTGGGCTTTGTAGGCTGGTGCTGCACTATGGTGTGTCATTTTAGGGATGGAGAATAGTTAGCTGAACTTCTTAAAGGCTGTTTTGCCATTTACAGCTTGCTGATGTCTTAGGTGGGATTTCAACTGCAAATGATTGGTTCACTGGTGAAGACAACTGCAAATGATTTTTAAAATGTTTGGGTTTTTTCCACACAGCTTTCTTTCCTATCTGCTGTGGAACTGCAGAGCTTCATTAATTTGCCCAAATTGGTTCTCATCTCGATGTTGAACAGATGCATTAGGGCAAGGATAACTCTTGCTCAAGATACCACTTCTAAAATAGAGAGCTTTTATGACCAGGAAATTGGGTGTTACATGGATTGCTACATTGTTACACTACCAGTAATAAACTTTTTTTGAAATTCACATCTGTGCTGTGTATGCAATAATCTCAGGCAGCTAAGTGTTTGTGACTGATCACATAAACTACACTGGACTGCCTGTATTTATTTGGTTGGCCAAAGCTTTATGGAATGTGATTTTATGGGAAGCTACAATTGTCATGTTAAGATGCACCAGACAGTTACATGTTTCAGGAGTCTAAATCAGTGTATAGAATCTGGTGTATAATTGACAGTGCCTTTAATTGTGTTTGTTTTCCATTAATTTAATTTTCTAAGGCTAAAACTTGCTCTAAGTGAAGCTTAAATGTAAATAAAATTGCGACAAATCATGTCATGTTTTTTGGGATATGAACACAACACTCATTTAAGAAATTATGATAAATTAATATAGAAGCAAAACTTAGTATACAGGAATTTACTTCTTTTTAAATGTAAAATATTAAATACAAGATTACTTTCCTAGTTTTCATTTGAATTTTACAATAATTGTTTTAAGGTGGATTATTCCTGGAAATATGTAGTGCTTGAGATCTCGGGAGCTTGAGATTTGCTGTAGTATGCAGTAGATTCAGACTGAAGTGTTAAAGCTTGAGATAAGTCTTTCCGAATGTGTTCCAGCAGTTGTGTTTGAACAGTGCTACTGATGCTAATAGATCACTGGAGCAAGAAATCCACTTTATCATGGAGCAGAACTTGTAGGGCTACATAGATAAACTGGTGGAAATCATCACTTACCTTAGCAAGAGTTTTACTGCTGTCTTTCACTTTCTTGCCATGGGGATAAATCATTCTGCTTTCTCTCAATTATTTAGCTCCTTGCTTGGTTTTTAAATAAGAGGAGGCCTTGTGTCTGACAGTGGACAGAGCAGCCTTTTGTTGTTGAAGCTGTCAAAGGTCAGGTGTTCTGTTTAAGGACCTGCCTTAAAATGTAATGCTGTTGCAGCTGACCAAACAAGACACTACTCATCATCACAGGTGAGGGACTGAATTGAAGAATGTTGTTCTTTAACTATTGCCAAGTTGATTGGATACCTTGGCCGTGTTTCTGCAATGTTTCTGCCGAGAAAACCCTTCTGTGCTGGGCATGAGGATGGGTGGGTGCTGATGGTAGTGCCAGCTGTTGGCATGGGACCTTTGGGAAAAAGTTAACTGGATGCTGTCCCTCTTACCACCTGAGGCACTTTCTAGTCCTCAAGGGAAGGACTTAAAAACTGCAGGCTTCTGTAGTACAAGGGAATTGGCTTTGTGATATGAGTTGGGGGAATAATCTGTGTTATTGCATATGAAAGGAAGCTGTGGCATTGAGGTGAAATTGCTGCTTTGCAAAATAACTTTTCAACATGTTTTCTTCTCAAGTGACTTCTTCATTAAACTGAGATCTGAGAACCAGTCAAATTTGAGAGGAGCTAAATAACGGTACAAAATTTTGACAATACTGATGTTCAGACCAGATGAAGGCATGTATTTTTTAATAAGTCAACTGTCCAGAATCCTGCAGTTGTGGATAAAACTTTCTTAGGGCATCTCCTGCGCTTTCTCCATCCAGAAACTGGTCTAGAGAGGATTGATGACAATGAGCAGCAGCTCCACTTGATCAGCTAAAATGTATCATGAAAGACTTGATGTAACACAAGAGCCTGCAGATACTGTAGAGAACAGAGGATGGCAGGGGAAGAGGAAACTGTGGGAGAAATAGTTGAAACAGCACCTTAGACAAGGAAATCAACATCCTTTCTGAATCATAAGCCTTGTTGACAAACTTTTTCTTTTTGAATCTGAATATTTCATGTGGGAAGATTTTAATGTAAACTCTTTGGGAATAACTTTCACTCTGTTCTTAGTTTGAAAATGTTCCTTCTTCAGACGTTTATTTGTCATGTTTTGTATTCACAAACCACTTGGAGGGAGAATTCCTGTGTATATCCCAGTGTTCTGCTCGAGTAAGCACCAGCACTGCAACCTGCCTTTTTCATGAGATACAGTTGCTACAAAGTACAACATGGTTTCACAAAGGTGTTGTTAATTATGATGTGTGACCTGGTATACAGTAGCTAAAACTTCCCAGGAATTACCAGCATGTAGCACTATGGAGAAGTGGGTCAGTCTGTGTTCATTTTGGAGTAAGTTACTCTCTCAAATCTTTCCCTTCAGTTGGGAAACTTGGTCAAGGTCTGCATTATAGAGCCAGGCTTTCAGACTGTTTCTTGAAGGTGCTGTTGAACACCAGCTCATTGTGATTGCTCAAACTAGATCTCTGCTCATTCAGTGATGGCAGGTGTTCTGACACACCTGAGGTTGTGTATGGAAATCTTTTTCGTCCAAAAGTTCTGGCATTGATGACCTATAGATTTTGCCATATCTTAGGATTAGTTTCTTCACAAAGTGGTGCTGGATTTACTTCACATGCAGTGCATATGTCAGCTGTGAAAAACAGTATAACATGGTAGTCTTGCACTCTTTTGTTTAAAGAGTTGAATCATAATAATTTACCAATTATTTATATTAGTGGTTAGAATCTGTGAAGCCTTGTGTGAAATTTTAATGGGGTAAGGGGTGGGAAAGGCAATAAAGCAGCTTTTACTACATTATTTAAATACAAAATTGTGACACCCCTCTGAGGTATCTT